GATATTTTGGTGACGCGACATAAAGATAATTGCTTCGACAAAGGAGACACATTGGTAGACAAAATGATAAGGTATCTTAAGATTTTTCGGTATGAACATTTATTTGTACATATACGTGAAAAATGAATACACAACAAAATAATGTAGAAGTTTAATAATAATAGTAATGTATAAAATTTTGTGTGGATAAAATGATAAGGCACTTGAAATATGAAATAACGAAAATATGAAATAAAATTACATAGTTCGTTTAAGTTTCAGCAATGTGTGAACAGTCCTTTACGCTGTATGACTTCAATCATTTTTTTTGGTAAACATCTATACAGATCCTTTATATATTTTTGATTCAAGCTTTCCCAAGCTTCTAAAACTGCAGATTTTAATTTGGACACTTTATTATACCGTTTTCCACCTTCATATAATGTTTGGCTGCGATTTCTGCAAACATTCTTAATAATGTTTAAATAAGAAGGCCTCGCGTCAATTTAAAATCTTTACATTTTCCGTTTCAAAATAATTGTTTACTTTGCGAGCGGAATGCACAGCTGCATTATCTTAATTAAATTTAAGTAGACAGCACTATTCACACGGCCGTGAATACATCTTATTTCCATTTTTCCTCTACAGCCGGTACCTGCCCATATCATTACTATACCACCGCCACATTGTCAGCAACTTAACACACTTTGCTTCTTTCTTAAATCATGGAAATAGTATTTATATCCATCTGGACCATCCAAATTCAGATTTTTTTTCATCTATGCATATAATACGTTTTCACTGTTTTTTTTTAATTGAATATGCTCTGTTGCAAATCTTAATCATCGACAATGTGGTGATAGTACACTAATGACATGGGCAGGTAAAGACGGAAATCGTTATAGTCTTTATCTCTTATCCGTCATCCAAATAAAATTTTACCGGAGTAAAACTCCGGTAGGTACATAGGTGGCCGTAGTGCTAATAATTATCATTAAAATTTAAATAACTCGAACAATAATAACATTTTCGCGCTGAAATTTTCACTGCAGTTCGTGTGCACGATGTTGAAGAAAACTGAGTATGAATTTTTCAATCCGATTTTCTTCCTTAAAAAAATGGTTTTTTATCCCCCTCTGAGGGACCATCGTAAGTCTGGGATATCACTCGGTTGTCCCCTCTGAGAGGACATCGTAAGTCTGGCATATCACTAGGATGTCCCCTCTCTGAGGGTACATAAAAGTTTATTAGTGATTACGAAGAATGAACTTATTCCATCGTAACTTTTTGAGAAATGCATGTTATCATGAAGTTTTCTATTGAAATTGCACCAGAAAGCAAATCAAAATATGGTACCAAGATATCAGCCACTTTTACGTTAGAAGAGAACGTAAGAAGTGCGTTCACGACGGTCCATACGCTTCTCTATCCCACTTGAAAAAAGCGATAAGGATGATTTGCAGAAGAAGAGTTAGTACGCAAATTTGCGTTGCACTATATGGTGAAATTTGAGAATATAATTGAGCAAGTCTGAAGTTGGCGGAGAAGATTTTCAAAGCCGAACTCAGTTCGGTTTGAAGCGTCGGGCGTTACAGATAGATCCCTGCACTAATAAGTCAGTAAATCGGAAAAATGATGTTCTTTTAGTAAATATCATTTTGTTGTTTCGTAATTTACAATTAGAAAGTTTCAACCCATTCAGTTCATTATTAGAACGGTGGCAAAACGACTAAACACGAGTCAGTCTCATGATATACTTGTAGTGTACTATAGTGTATAGTAGCATAGTGTATAATAGTATAGTATGTATGTGCTAGTGTATAATAGTATAGTGTACATGTGCTAGTGTATGTGCTACTGTGCTACTAATAGCTATAGTGAAGACGAATTCCAGATAGACGTTTTATCCAGACATGTTAGAAAAAGTAAATATTTATAAGAAAGAAAATTTGTATTTTTTTGCAAATATATGTTCCTCGATGTCTACAAATTCATATAAATCAAATATCATTACGATACCTTATTTAGTTCCAAAGCTATGCTATAATATGACGATTCCTAGGTGCACGTTTTCGCGACAAGGTGACGTCGAGTTGCTGATAAGAAACGTCAGGATAGCTCCAAATGCAAAGAGATAAGCTATAATAACGGAATAACTGCAGATTCTGTACTTGTAGCGCATTTTAAAGTGCATATCTTAAGAGACGAGGAACTCGAACAAAATGTAATAAATATTCTACATCAAATTTACTTCACACACAATAGAACTTGCGTTATGTAATAGAACAATATGATACATAATGTGCGAAATGGAACAACATGTATAGATTTTACATAGTATATTACATATATTGTTTTACATAGTTTTATTTATAATTGCAAATTTAAATTCATCTTGTTGCAAATAAAATTAACACATTGACACAGCAATATTGGCTGTCTTTTATTAAAATTTTAAGTAATTAATCCCCATTAATCGTCGATAATTGTTTAGTAAATGTCATACAATGTCATACAACAAATTTGAATGTTACGTAAATTTTATTATAAATAATTACAAATAGGTGAATTTCATTTGCGAAAAAGTAAATAAGGATCGGAAAGCATGCACAGAAGGATTAATTCGATTTGCAAAATGGCAAATTTAATCTACGAAAGGATTAATTTGGAGAGCGAACAGATGAATTTGATGTACAAAACATTTAATTTGGAGAATGAAAAGGTGAATGTGATCCACAAAAGGATTAATTTTGAGTGCGAAACCTGTATGATGCTTAATAAGACAGAATGAGAAATGAATTTCATAGATAAAATACAAAATCAAAGTGACAATACTGTACAATTCCCCTCATTTTTCAAAAAGTAATCTAATCCAAACACGTTTTAATCTATGCATAGTTCATACATCGCGCGCTAATATTTATAATAAAGTTTCTACAGCGCCGAATGAAAAAGCCTAATTTACGTGCGAAACCAGTGTTCAACGCTCGACCACAGAAATCTCAGTGTGCATAAAGATCGGCAGACAAATAATATCATACGTGTAAATTATCCGCGGTTTTAGAACGCAACGAAGATATCCTCCGAATCCAATTACGTACGCCAGAGCATCGAATTCAGCATCGAGAGGACTTTTTTCTCCGCTCAAAGAAGGAAGATAATATCCCGGCACACGGGGAAAGAAAGTCGATGAAAATTCGTGGAACGCGTGCTCGCCCAGCTTCCTTATTTTACTATTCGTTTACGGCAGGAATTTCCATCTATCCTGCATTCGTAACGAAGTTTTACAGTAGACTCCAGGCAACAGACTCCGGCCGTGTAGACTCCCGAAGATGTGTTCCGGATGAGCAATCGTAACGCTGCTACAGATAGTTTCGTAATAACGCCTCGAGCAGTATTAAATTTGTCTACGAGAGAAACTTGTGTCAAACTCGTCAACGAAGAGGATCATGCGGGGCGATACAAACAGGCTGTCTCTGTTTCTTTTCGTTAAGGAAGTTCAACAAGGTTCCCCCAGAGGCTCCCGTTAATTTCGGCAGCTATTTTTCCGGCAAGTTAGCCGCGCGAATCGGCGCGTTTTAAAAAGAAAGCGATCGCGGGACTCGCGGTAACAGCGCGAGCGAGCGAGCGCGCGCCGGCTAATGTAAATTTACGATCATCGTTCGCCGTAGCTTTCGTTGTAAACAACTCGGGAACAAAAACAGGAAGGTGGGAACGGATGTTGCGGCCGCGTGCAAGCCGGGAAGAAGAAGGCCAACCCGCACGGCTCGTAATGGACGATTATAAGCATGAATATGTAGATGGCATTTAGGGCGCAAACGGCCTTCAATGCCACGAACACGCGCTCGTACTTCAACCCTCTCATGGCGTTGCACCTTAATAACGTCACCTTACCCACGTGCTTGATGAACGCGACGTTTGCTCCGCCGGTGAATGAAGAATGTTCCTGGACCGCACCAGGGAAATATGGGACGGTTCGATGAGGAATGTTGTACTCCTCATATTTACAGTGCACACTGGTCCGCGAATCCATTTTCACTGGCCAAAATACAATTATTCGAGTTTAACCCTTATCCCTGCCTGATACCAATTCGACGCTACGTTCAAATTTCAGAGTACATCATTCCGTTGTATTTAGAATTATTAATAATAGAGTTCATGACTTTCTTATTTCCTTAATACGGAGAACATGTGCCTATTATTATAAATGAAAATACACGTAACATAAAGATGACAATATTTGTTACGAAAAGGGTCTTTCATGAATTTCGCGAGCAACAGAAGACATCACTTCCTTTTTTGTGTTATTTTAAGTTTTTTTTTCATATACAAGATCTATATCTCTATATTTCTATATTAGAAGTAATAGAAAATAGAAATATACAAAAATAATTCTTTGTTAAGTTTTCATTTAACCCTTTGCACTCCGCTGTCCCCTCTCGTGGGACATCGTAATTCTAGCATATCACTCGGATGTCCCCTCTCGTGGGACATTAAAGTTTATTAGTGATTACGGGGAATTGAGTTATTTCAGCGCAACTTTTTCAGACATATGCATGTTTCCCTGAAGTTTTCTCTTGAAATGGCACAAAAAATCAAATCAAAATATAATAAAATTACTAAGATATGTACAAGAAATGTCAGCGGGTTTTGACGAGAACGTGAGAGGCGTGCTCACGACGGTCCGAGCACTTCAACGGCGCCATTTGAAAAGAGCGATAAGGCAAGTTTGTAGAAGGAAGGTCGGTATGCGAACATAGCACACGCATTGTATAGTGAGATTTATAATCATAAAATCTGGAGGAAAAGATTTTCAAAGCTGAACTCAGTCTGGTTTGAAGCGTCGAGCGGTATAGATAGATCTAACGAGTGAGAACATCGGAGAAGTGATTCTTCTCTTGGTAAATAAATTGTTTGATAAAAGTTTTTTTGGTAAATATCATCTTGTGAGTTAGTAATAACAATTAGAAATCTTCAACCTATGTATTTATTCATATTTTTTATTAGAACAATGGCAAAACGTTCAAATACGAATGAGTCTCATGACACAAGTAGTAGTGAAGGTGAGCTCCAGATAGACATTTATACAGATATATTAAAAAGACTAACTGTAGAAGGTTTTCTTCTACAGTTNTTAGAACAATGGCAAAACGTTCAAATACGAATGAGTCTCATGACACAAGTAGTAGTGAAGGTGAGCTCCAGATAGACATTTATACAGATATATTAAAAAGACTAACTGTAGAAGGTTTTCTTCTACAGTTAGTCTACCGTTTTGATAGCAGTGATAGTGATACCGTCCAAGCAACAAGGCGACGAGAGAAAGAGTTCTCATAGATAGCGATTACAACGAAACAAAATTATAAAACAAACAATAACAAAATTATAAAAAACAAAATATTGATTTTTTGCAAATTTCTCGATTTCAGCCAATTCATATAAGTCTAATATCACTATAATATGTTAGTTAGTTCCAAAACCATACTAAATAATACGAGGGTCTGTAAATGCTCGTTTCTGCCAAAAAGTGGCGCTGAGTAGCTGGTAGCCAACGTCCAGAATGGTTCGGAGTGCTAAGTGTTAAATATCAGTAACAGTGTAAAAGTTATTTCGAGTCTATAATTATGCACGCCACTGATATACATTCGTTGCATTATAGCTGACATTATTGTCGCTTTCGAACAATTTTCAATCAACCGTAACTGCCAATCTTCGTGTTTGAAAGAACTATTAAAAAACTGCTGGTAGATAAAATATTAAATCACACGTTTTACACTAGTCTGACAATTTTTCCACCGAGGAATCACGTGAAAACAAAATTTTCGGAATATCCTCTTTAGCGATGTATTCAGGTTAATGATGTTTAACTAGAAAAAAAACGAAAAAGTGAACCGTACGAAAAAGTGAACCGTTCTACAATTCCATCAATTTTTCGAATTCTTTTCTCTGGTGCAAAGTTCCAACAGAAGGCTACAATTAGTGGAATAATACTTCCTGTTGGAGCATTTCCTATGTAGACATTACCGTGGACAATGTCGATTACATTTTTCGAGGAAGCCTTATTATTATACCCGGCGAAGAATTCGGATTTTCAATTAGAACCCTCAGCGAAGGGACATGAAGTGCAAGCTAATTTGATGCGATCTTGGGGTCTAGTTACTGGCAAACTAATTTCGAAGGAACGAAGTTATCGCTGTTCAACTCGCTTGCCGGGCCAAGACCCTTAGCAGGGATGTTCTTATGGTTTCTTCCAGCGCAGTTGAAACCGAAATAAAACGAAATCAGTGTTCAGGGAAAGCCGGTAATTTCACATGATTACGTCCAGCTTGTGCTCGTTCGACTTGGTTAATTAACTCCTTTATCCTTCGTAAATGTCAAGGGACAATATTTGGGGGAGTCTGTAACCCACTGTCTTGGTCATTCTACAGAACCGCGTGTCCTTTATGACCTTGGATTTCGAAGTACATGAAACGACGAGTGTCCATTGCAACTTCGTGGCAAAACATCTTTATCCGGCCCGTTTTACTGAAAGAGTTCGTGGAAGTACCGCAAGAAAATTAAATCGTATTACACTGACTATAGCAATTGTATCATAATATCTACTTTAATCGGTATTATAATCGGAAGTTTAACAGACTTGTTACATTAGGCTGGCGCATATGAAATGTCAGATTTTTAAACGAATAGTAAAAGCTTTGTTTAATCAAAATATCAGCCGTTTGCTTCGATACACTTTCGACGAGTTTTTAGTGTATAAATGCTATTTTGAATGATTCCGGTCTTTTGAATAAATCAACTGGGCTTGTAAAAAGATTACGCGAATATCCGTAGAATTCATACGCATACGAAACTTAAAATAAATAATAAAAATACGGAACATCGAAAAAATTCTTTTTGGCAGAATATGACGCTGGCAATATTCATAACATGCAAAAAGGTTTACTCGTTGATATTATGTCGTTATTTAAACGGAATGGTAGCGTGAAGTTAGGAGAAATAGGTCACTGCATACATTTTCTGCTTTTATTAATGCAGAAATTGTTATGTAGTCAGTTACGCTAGGGAGGGGGGGGAGGATATCGTTCGACAATTGTTATTACAATTTATGAATAATATTTGTGACAATGATATATAGATGTTTGAAGATATAATCAGCAACACGTTCAGCTAAAAAATCGTTGACAGATAAGAAACATATTATGTTTCATGTATCTATTATCCTCATAAAAATTACATTATTACGCTTATAATCAGTATTATATTTAATTTGGTTTTGGAACTATTCTCATATACTTGGAGATTAATATAATTTAATAAAATTTTCCAACCAATTTTATTTAAATTGATATTAAAAATGGAATTATAAGTAGAATTGGTAAGTCCTGGTCGGTCCATAATTTATTAATCCTGAAAATAGAGACCTACATATAGTAATATTATTTTCCATTTTTTATTGTTTCAGCATGTACAAGTGCCTCTTACAGCTGCTTAGTATGTATTATTGTAAGTTTATTCCGTTCAAGAGAAGAATATTATTTGGATAAGTGTACGCGATACTCACTTAGCGTAATACGTATTGCGGAGCTGTAGACAATAAGAGGAGCAATTAATAAATATTTCATAAATATCTCTTGACATTTCGAAGATTATTGTCCCCCGGCGGGGACATCTCAAGGGTTCGTGAAAAGACTTCGACACAATAAAAAGTAACGAGGGTAATATTCGTCGCAAGGAGCAGGAGAATTCTTGTCATGGTAAGAGAAGAATGAGGCCATATTTGTCTGACGAGGAATGCCCTTCGAGAAAAAGGAAATGTCAGGTCCCGTCTATACGATACTTTCAGCAGAAATACGTGAAATTCGTCTTATTTTGTTTGGTAGATGCCCTTCGCTTTTACCTTAATTTGAGATCTTTCTTCCGCAATTTTAATTCACTCAGGACATTATCTAAATTTGTCAAATTAATACGAGTATTATTGTAATAACAAACGAGAAACCCTCGGTAACTTGAAAAGTTCGAATCCATTGAAATTTACAGAGAATTCTGGAGTAAGATCATTGAGAAATGTTTAATTAATTTTTCGTTTTTAGAGACAAAACATTGCTTTCACTTGTATTAAGCATGATGCATTTAATGATGGACGCGTAAATAATGTAATAATACATACTATTAAATAGTCTATGCATAATTACTATAGTTATAAAAATAAATAACATGTAAATAATAAATGAGATAGTTATGACGAATATTTCTATATGATGCACAAATGATGAATATAATATCAAATGTGATGAATATTTTTATATAAATGCAATTAATATTATTATGTAATGTACATTATAATATATAATAATATAATAATAATTATAATAATAATTATAATAATATTATTAATATATCTATAATGTATATAAATATATAATGAACACAACATAAAATATGATGAATAATTTTTAAACAGTTGTAACGAAGACTGGAGAATACTAAACGCGTTTAGTAGTTATACACTGATACACGAAAGTATTCGAACGCTTACATTTTTAACATTCAATTAATAAAATATGTGTTAAACTGAAGCATTTGATATAATATGACACATATAACAAGGNCAACTAATGTGATATATACATATATAGACGGTATTGTAAATATATTGTTAAATTATTTTCTAATTTCACTTATGCCTATTGGACTTAATGGGCCTTAAGACTATATAAGTGAAATTAGAAAATAATTCAACAATATACACCATTTTTACAGTACATTTATTGTAAATACATACCAGAAGTGGCTCACAAAAGTATTTGAACGGAACATTTAATAGTTATTTAAATTGAACGATTAAAGGTTTTAATAGGAAGTTGATCCACCTTTTGCTTTTATAAGGAAAATGTGGTGGCGGAGGATGTGACACCACGTGTGGAACATTCTTTGACTATTTTAGCGGTATGCTTCGAATCATTGTCAGACTGAAGTCAGTAATTGCTTGGTAAATTCAATTTTGATACACTGTTTTCTAAATTTTCCTTCAAAATTTTTCCCATTCATGAGCATAAGGCATGAGCACTTTTACGTCCATCGCTACCAAACACGTTAAATCTACTCTCATCAGAGGATAATACTTTATCCCACAATGAATTATTTTCATAAATAAATTTTTCGGCGAATTTTAAATGTACACTTTCATTTTTCTTGCTAATAAATGGCTTTCTCCTTGGAACTCGTGTATGTAAACCATTATTTCTTTCACTTCTTTCTGGAACTGCGTAGCCACAATTGATGCCAATTGCGATCCAGAAGTGAAAGAATCTTGATACGTTGCTAATTAACATATCCGAATACTTTAAACCATGAATAATTGCAATCACTTTTAGTAGACATTATGTAAAATTTGATAATTATAGTGATCATAATTTATTCCAGGCAAATGTTATTATGGCAGCAATGTAAGTAAATGAATTATTTATACGTGAAATGATAACTGTTTATAATATATCGTTTGAATTTGAGTGTCATATTTATATAAATATTCATTCCGCCATGCTGCTATTTTAATTTGCAGTTAAAATATTAAAAACAAGTATGGCGAAATATTCATTACAGGTTATTGCACCTGTGAATATTACTCTGCCGATCCATCATCGATTTTCATTTCACGATTCTGTTTATTTATCAGCAGCGACATTTTCGTAAAATATTTCGCGTATATACCAGTGAACCGTTTTATTTATTCACGTTTCCCAACTTCATGTAAATATTACTTTCTAGATCGTATTACGTATGAGAATTACAATGCAACTCTTTGTTTCGACTTTTCACGGGGCTAATTAGAGATAAATCGTACTCGTTTAATTACTGAGACTGCACAACCGTGAAATTAACATTTAATAAAAACATTTCAATTAATTCCATATGTTGGCAAACGAACTTCGACTTTGGAATGTGGAAGCAGTTCGAATGTAGCAGCCATCGTTAATTGCTTGAAATATCAGTTATACGTCAAGAATATAAGCGAGTGAAACGTGATGATTGAATATGGGGTCTTCCCGGTGATAAGCATCGTTTAAATTTTTCAACAATTTTATAAATCATAGTACTCGCTAGAAAAAGATGTTTATAGGAAAGTAAATTGAGAAAAACTGTATTTTTTCAAACAAATCAATTATTAGAATTATACAATTTCATGTTCATGCTCTGCAATCAAATCATTTGTTTCGAAAATTTATGAAGTATTATATATCATATTTCATTGCACAAAAATTATATTATCAATATCAAAATGAACCTAATTAAATTTTGCTTCTACTTTACTGAATATTTGTATGTTTTCATATAGTTAGTATACCAGACGCTATAATTACTAATTTCTAATTAGTAATTATTTTCAGCAGTCATACCGAAAGTTTTCGAGAACTTAGGCAGAATTAATAGACTATAGATCTTTATGCAAAATAAAAGATATCTGCATTGATTAAAAGAAACAGAGGTTCATTAAAAAATATATTTCTTCCCTTAACCTCTCTTGCGCTACAATTTTTACACAGACACATTGATTAGCACTTCTTCATCCTTAATAATCTCCCTAGTTGAATGAGACGATTACAAAAATAAAAAAAGAGTAAATTCGGATATAAAAATATTTGGACACATTTTAAAATCGACTAACGTTTATAAAATTGGATCAACTGTCTTAGATTTGTTTGAGATGTTAGTTAAAAAAACTCATATTTTTTACCTTTTTTATCTGCATGTACAACGAAAACTTGAACAATCTCTAATTGTATATAGCTTATAACAACAATAATTAATTTCAATGAAATTTTCAACATGTATTAAACTACCCGATGGTTTTGCAATATTCTAACATCTAAAAAAAATTCGAGTACTTTTACTCAACCTTCAAAGAGTTATTCGGGTTTACGAAAGTGTCCGAATATTTTCGTGACCGGCTGTATATCTTCATGTACTTTTAACCCTAGATTTTGATGGCAGAAGAATCATATTTTGTTTTCATCTATATTCAACAGATTATGTATGAAATCTTCGTCACGAGTCTGACTCCTTGTTGTAGTGCAAGGATTTTATGATTTTAATATGTTAAAAGTAACATAATACTACGTAAAATCTTTCAGTGTTTCCACTGTTTAGTACTTTAACCATCGATTTTTGTTATAGGTACATAAAATATACAATCTACTTGTGATTTAACCATTGTTTAATCTTTAGTAGGTACTCTAACAATAACTTGAAATGAAATCATTAACAAGTTTGCAATTCAGTTATTTTATACTATAAAAAAAAAGTGTATATGCAGCGTCACCAAATTTCTGATTTTCGAAAATTGTCAAAACTTAAACTATTATATAATAGTTACATAAGTATAATCTTACAACAATGAACACGGATTATTTTTAAAGCTTGTAGACTCCATTTCTGCGATCTATCATTGATTTTTCTCCTCGCATATTTTTTCATGATATAGCCTGGTGTAGCACGTTGTTTTCGAACACATATTTTCTCTCGAAAATACTACGAAACTGACACGTTTCTAAAACCATTAGAAAATTTGTTTCCTAACTAAAAATTTTATAGACTTAAAGATTTGACTTGTCGCTTTACAACGATACTCCAAAATTGTACGATCTTTATTGCGGTTTCATTATCGAGATTTCAGGAGAGATTATACAGGGATGGTTTTAATCTTCAAATCTATAATAGGTTGAGTCGTGGAAAAGAATGTTCTAATGCTTTTAGAGGCGTTTTAGTTTATTTTCCAGAGAGAGCATATGTACCTCCACTTTCCAATACGGCATATTACGGAAATACATTGGAGGAAAAAATGAACGACGGATGGTGAAAGTTGATGCTTCGAGCTATAAAATGAATCCAGGTTTATCGTTCTACGACTCTCTTTTACGAAATGATAATAGTTTAAATGTCGACAATTTGTCAAGAATTGGAAATTTAATAAAATTATAGCGACTTCTTCGTTAATGATCTCAATATTTCACGAACAATACGCAGAATATCTCAAACGACTGGTCCACGGTTTTATCCATTGTACGCGGTTCATAGTTTTATTGGATTAAAATGGTGATAAATGGAAAAATCGTCGGTAGCAAAAATCAATAGTTTCGAATGGTGCATGCACTACGTGATGCGAGCCTTTGCTTCGAACGTGGGAACGTTTCAACCATTTCAAGGTTATCATAATTTTCTTTAAACGAAGCTACATGGCATTTCATGTACTAATTGAGATGCATCTTTTCCGATACAAAAATATTAACAAAGAATTTAACAGTATTTTTAACAATATTCTATCTAGTAGCTGTAAATGTTTCGTCGAAGTCTTCCAGAATGATATAAGTATATACATTACACAAATGTTCATGCATTAATGTACAACAGTTGAAATCAATTAAAAGTGTAAGTCTTGTATCAAGAGGCGCGTACAAAGTGTACAAGAAAATACAAATATAATTAAAATGTATTCGATCTTTTCTTGCACTGATTGCGAGTCTGAGACTATTGTGACTGTAATAAATATTTAAGATCTGTAGTATAATAATTTATATCACAACTTCACAGTTTTTGTTCTAGGTAATAAATTGCTTTGATTTTATCTGATTTTTTAAATTGATTATTTGATTTTATCTGATATTTACAACTACCAACAGCGACGTCGCACAAAATTATGTAAATAGAAATTAAGATTATTTAAATAGAAATCGTTACCTTAGCTTACAAAATCAGTTAACGCGACCGTCTATATGCGCTAACGAACCACAGCCAGCTTCCTCTATAACTTTGGTATCAATCCCCGAGTCAACAGCTCAGCTATTGTGCATTTCTCGCTTTGTATCATAGTTCTGTTTCTCGTATCGATTTCAGCAATCTTCGAAAAGTGGTAGAGTTTTCAAAGCTATCAATATTTCTTTGGTGTGAAACTGGATGCATGTTTTGTTCATATTGCATCATCATACCTGACGAAGAAATATATGTTTAGGTACGTTTAACAACGTGGCCTTGAAATTACTTCGGCCTTAAAAAGTTGATGATTTTCTTATGACGTAGCATGTTGTTTCAAAGCATTTTTGATTCATCTTGAAAATACTACGAACTAAGACCTTCCCGAAACCATTACAAAATTGGTTTTATGACTAGATATATACCATAGACTTTTACATGAAAATTGCTCCATTAAAGCGACCCACTGGTCAGAATAAAACTTCATGTAAATAATGTAAT